GGCACTAGCGTCTGCTCTCAAAACCGAAAAGTTTTACGACTTGGCAGGTAAATGATTTATCCAAAAGGCGTAGTCACACGATATTGATATAGTAATATTATCTATTATGCTTTGTAATGTTCATGCATTAGTATGCACACATAAAAATGGTATTTCGCTTTAAAAATATTGCAGTTGTTTTGCTCATGCAGCTTTTTTATAGCTTTTTTTATTTTTGGACGAGAAAAATAGGTTAGGTAAATTGTATTACGAGACGGTGGTTATCTAAACTACAATAACGTGTTGTGAAACCACCATAATAAATACGTCTCTCCACCCACATCCTAAAGCTTACTGAAGTGCACTTGTATTTCGACAAGCCGGCCTTTCAACCAATCAGAGCAGTTTATCTACAGAGTAGCCGTCGTATAATTGGCCAAACTTTGGGTACGTCACTGTCAATCCTGCAGATAGAGGCGGGACTTGTCAGAAAACTGGTGGAAAAAATGAACGACTGTAACTCGGATATGATCTTGGAGCCTATAAATTAGTACAAGTGCAAAACAATGAGCTATTTTAATCTGTATAAACATATTTGCACAAACCTCGAAACTAAAATATATTTATACAGAAACATACTTTTTAAACAATAACCTCTGTACAGATATTTAAAATATATTATAACACCATTTTATAATGTTTATAATGTTATACATAAACAGTTTAATACTGCATAAATGAATTTTAACAGCTATATTGATTAGCATCTTATGCATGGTATGTAGAAAGTAATCACAACTTGGCTTGCTGACATGAAGATGTGAGAATTATCCACGAGGACTTGATTATCCATGTAATTCAAAGTCTTATTCTCTACATAAAAATAGCTTCTACTCACCTGTCAGCATTCAATTTGCATTGCTTTTCAGTGTAGTTCAAATATTATCCAATCATTTCAGTCTTTCAAACCCAGGTCACTGAATGCTATTCCCTCTTTCTCTCTGAGAAGTGTGCTCTTGAGGATCCTTGAACTTTGCTACCAATTGTCTCTAGATTCATTGGTAAAGTATTCAGTGAGCACGCCTCACTTTTAAAATGGACGGACACAGGTGACTGGCTGCTCTGCCCATATCTGGCAGGATATTGAATGCCTTATCAGTTTAACTACAGATTAATTTTGTTGTTTTGTAGGATCTGAGTCGGGTATGGGGCGGAACTGGCCACTTTAGACAGAACGTACAAACTGGACTTGTCACTGCCTGGGGTCTGAGGTAAGATAGATAGATAAACAGTGTAAAAGTGTTCAATAAAGTAAAGACAGGTCTATTTATTTCAGTCTTGTAGATTTAACAGCGTTAATAAAAGTGAAGTCAGTCCAGCTTCTTGTTGCGTTAATGTATCCATTAAGGTCTGGTTAATAAGTCAATTAGTAACAGATTGGGCCTTGTCCTGCAGGCTCGGGACATTTCTCTTTCTTAGAATCCTAAAGGAAGGACAAGACCGGAGATTTGACAATGTCAGAGACAGCCCTGGGACATTCTTTGTGTACTGGACCATGCAAGGTATTTCAACCACGGCTATTGATTATTTGCATAATGTTAATTGATGGCCGCAGTAGGCCATTTGTGTTCAGTCACAACAACAAAAAGATAACTAGGAAAGTACCTTTACTAGTATATTATATCACATAATGATCATATATCTCGATTCTATTTCTATATTGTATTCTATTCTATTATGAATCGGATACCATAAGTAGTTTAACTTATAAGTTGCACTTATTTTGTTGTTCTATTCTGTATCACATAATAAAGATCAAATATTCAACCTGTTCTATTTCAGTATTTAATATTATATTGCATAATATTATGAATTACACAAGTAGAAGTTGAACTGTGCACCTATTCTGTACTGTTCTATTCTGTCACATAATGATCACATAGCTCAATTCTATTCTATTTGAATATTTTATTCTATTCCAATGTTCTACACTACGAACAACTTGGAAAGTAACTTTACTGCCATCAAGTTAGTCAACTTTCATTAAAATGAAACTTGTTTCTCCTTTTTTTCTAGCTTTGTGGGTCTTTATTACCCTGTTGCCCACCCTAATATCTCGATTCTATTTCTATATTGTATTCTATTCTATTATGAATCGGATACCATAAGTAGTTTAACTTATAAGTTGCACTTATTTTGTTGTTCTATTCTGTATCACATAATAAAGATCAAATATTCAACCTGTTCTATTTCAGTATTTAATATTATATTGCATTATATTATGAATTACACAAGTAGAAGTTGAACTGTGCACCTATTCTGTACTGTTCTATTCTGTCACATAATGATCACATAGCTCAATTCTATTCTATTTGAATATTTTATTCTATTCCAATGTTCTACACTACGAACAACTTGGAAAGTAACTTTACTGCCATCAAGTTAGTCAACTTTCATTAAAATGAAACTTGTTTCTCCTTTTTTTCTAGCTTTGTGGGTCTTTATTACCCTGTTGCCCACCCTAATTCTAAACAGTGAGAGAAGAGATGAGCCCCTGGGCCCACGTGACTACATCGGATGGGGAATATGGGGGCTGGGTTTTGCTACAGAGGCCCTTGCCGACTGGCAGAAGTGGAATTTTAGGAGTGATCCAGATAACGCAGTGAGTAATAACTTGCACTGATAATAATAATTTGATGAGACGACCAAATTATGACATGTAAATCATATAACTTGCGTCATAAAAGAGATATTTTAATATAATAGCGTTCATTTTATAAGGCCTGTGCTCTAATAGATAATGGTAAACTGGATCAAACTGTCCGTTCTTAACCCTCTGGTTGTTATTGGCCATTTTATACCAAATGTATTATTCTTTTTAATGTTATACCTTTTTTTACTAAGGGAGGAATACCAAAGAAGTGCATATTTTTTTCACATGGGTTAAATATACAGAAACTATATGTGAACCATTTGTTGGTTCGTTTGTTTGAACATTCTAACCAGCTACTTTGGCTTAACCAAAGGTGTGTGTTTGGAGCGGGGCTATCTGGTTGTCCAACCAATGGCAGACAGGGGAAGTGATGCAGAAATTACACTGTTCACCTTTAATTAAACATTTTGAATTTAGCTTCAAGAAATCCTGAGTGCTTATTACTTTGCATATGACATTTTAATTAATGTTAAGACATAAATCATGTAAGCCTACTTGTATTCGCAGGGAAAATGTATTCATCATGGACTGTGGGCATACAGCAGACACCCAAACTATCTGGGGGAGATCCTGCAATGGTCAGGCCTGTTCCTGTCCGCTTCCTCCGTCATGCCTGGTCCTCAATATCTCACTGTGGTTTCTCCTCTCTTTGTCTGGTTTTTACTGAGACACGTTAGTGGGATCCCCATCCTTGAGAAACAAACTATGAAGAAGTGGGGATCAGACCCTGCTTTCCAGAACTACATCAAGAACACTCCACTTCTATGGCCCTTCCCCAAATTTAAAGGAGAATAAAGCATATTTACAGAACTTGCAGTAATTGCTCATGCTTACTAATGAACATTGAGAGCTCTTGTGAATGTCTGGAAATACAGACACAATAGTGCGAGTAGTTAAAGGAATAGTTCACCAAAAAATTTTCAATGACTCACCCTCAGGCCATCCTGAGATGTAGAAGAGTTTGTTTCTATTGAAAAGATTTGGAGAAATGCATCACTTGCTCATCAATGGATCTTCTGCAATGAATGGGTGCCGTCAGAATGAGTGTTCAAATAGCTGATAAAAACAACACAATAATCCACAACATGACTCCATTCCATCAATGAATGTCTTTTGAAGCGAAAAGCTGTGTTTGTAAAAAAACTAATCCATAATTAAGGCCTTTTAACTTTAAATCAGACACTTCTGGCTACAATCTATAATAAAGCTTCCTCCAGTGAAAAAGTCCATCCCTTGTTGTCCTCACATCAAAATCCACCAACATATGTTTATAAATATCAACTTAGAACAGTGCTTGATCTTTACATATTTCACTTCTGATTCAGATAAAATTACTTTTTCACTGGAGAAAGCAATATTATGTATTGAGGATGACTCATATTTTAGCCAAAAGCAATGGTTTGAAGTTAAAAATGTCTTGATTTTGTTTAGTACCAACAGCTTTTCGACTTTACATTAATTGATGGACTGGACTATTGTGTTTTTATCAGCCGTTTAGACTCTAGTTCTGACGGCACCCATTCATTGATGAACAAGTAATATGCTAAATCTCCACAATCTTCCATTTTTGAGTGAACTATTTCTTAAGAAAACAATATAGATGTCCTCATTCCTGGATCTAGTTTCTACATTATAACATTTTCAGTACACCTAGTTACTTTGCAGTTGTAACCCACAAGGAAATTCTTCAAAGAAATCTATCAATACTTCTCTTTCAATTAATTCAACCACCCGTTCTCATATTCTGGCACACTTTGTGCCTCAGTGATTTTGTATTGTATTTTAAATGCGAACATTTACGTCACAGTCCAACTCTAAATCCCAATGCGGTGTTAAAAGACAGACACAAAGGACTTGCAATAAATGAATGTATTTGACAAACAGCACAAGTCTTACAAAATATCACACCACCCAAATTGAAAAGCAACTGAGTTGATAAATTAACTGCAATGTTCAACACAGTAAACAATTGCCCTTTTAAAATGATGAAAACTTGACCGTTCAGTGCTGCACAACTACTGGTCCTGAAATGTGGCACCACTGAAAGGAAAATGACTAATTGTATACAGTAAAGAGTGTCCAACCAGTATAATCTTTTATGAATTGGATGAAGTACACTAGATCCTTCAAAATCAGTCAATTCTCCCAGAGGACACCATTTTTTTGTTTCTACTTTAAATGCGGTACAAAATTCAATAAATTGAGCCAAAACTGCATAAAGACAAATGAATGCCATAGTGAAAATCTGAAAGAATTCTGGCCATGTTCATTTATGATCAAAAAACAACTATGATGCTGAAAGACAAAATGCGCAAGCACAACCACCAAGTGTTTTTCATTACAAATTGCATATATTCTCAATTTTCTTACCGTCCTGAACCCCTCAATGCACAAATCGCAGAGGGTTCAGAAGCAGTGTTTCTCAAACAATACAAATGAATAATTGAAACATTAGCAGCATCATCTTAACAAATTCTGTATTAAATCTACTGGCTATGAAATCTAAGTTTGACCATGTTTAAACACACAGTTTACACTCTACATAGAAAAATCTGATGGTCACTACAGCCTTGAACCCAAAGAGATTGGGATTTTGCTTGTCGTTCCATGTAAAACATACAATTACAATATTCAAGCAATACACAAGGTTACGGTTTCAGATTATACTATATACAAATCTTGCATACAGCATAACCTTTTTTGTTCTAGATGCTACATTCAAGTTCAGGTTTCTTGATAAAGAACTCCCAAACTGATGCAGATTCTGTTGTTAATTGAGGACTCAGTGACTGATGGAACTGTTTATATCAGCCCATCGCTTTGTTTGTGAATGTTAACAGTACATTAAAACATTTAAAAGCAACTAAAATACAAATGTTACTAGAAAACTTGACAGATAAAAAGAGTAGCGTTAATATGGTCCAAATTGATGGACAAACCAGACATAAAATATACAAGTAGGATTATGTAATATATTGCAGCTGTTTCCAAAGAAAAAGAAAAACTCAGCCTTGAGGAGCTTCAGGGCTACTTTAGGAGAGGAGAGGTGAAGAAGTGCCCTTGGCGAGGGACGCTGACTGCAGCTCTGCTCCTGCTAGAGAACCTGAAAACAGGAGGGATGTTCATAATGGTTAGTTCACTTCTACTCAAAGAACAGTGGCAGAACGCGATAGGATTCAAACATACTTTGGAGTGATTGCATTGAGAGTTGCATTCTTCATGCGCTGGGAGAGAGAGCTGGAGGATGGGGTCTTGCTCATCTGCTGGTCAGGAGTCGTAAGGGGCCCAAACATACTCGCTACAGGGCCAAACAAAAGGCAAATTGTAATACAAAGAAAAAAAATTACTAAATCGTTCAAGATCAGGTGATGTTATGAAATAACTGAAGTTTTTTTTTATTTATATATATATA